TCTTAAATCAATTAAAGAAGCTATTTGTCTATCAAATCCTATACTTCTCCATCCTCTTCTACAGTTCTTTTCCATTTGAGTCTTCCCAGTCTATAAGCACACCCAGCAGACAAAACAAGATTAACTTTACCTTTAGTTTGTAGTACCTTTTTCCTTCAAGGATAAGTTTTTTCAAAAGGTAAGATTAACTTCTGTAGTTGCACCTCCTATACACTCTTCACTTCAGTGTAATCCATTTTCAACCACAACAACTCAAAAGAAATGCTCTCAGTAGGGTAGCCAATAAAACCTAATTATCAGGTCCAATGTACACATTAGCCAGTTTGCATCTCACTTGGCATCTCTGAGTATACAGTTTTTAACAACTCTTTCAGACTCATCTACTGATTTTCATGACACTACAACTTCCTCATTCTCCCACCACTCTGGTTGTTCTCTCTTTTCTGGCCCATTATTCCCCAGGGTTCTGTCCTTGGTCTTCTCATTCCCACACTCATGTCTTGATTTGGAAACTACCTTGAAAGTCTGCACCTCTCTTCCTAGCTTCAGATCATTTGTCCACCCATTTACCAAGCATTTACCTCTGGTTGTCACATAGGTACTTTAAATTAAACATATACATAATCAAACCCAGAGTAAGTGTGACACTTTCCCACAGGCTAGACTTCAGGCACACAAAATAAAGACATTAATACTTCTCAAAAATATCTATTCTACCTATATTCTATATTATTTTTATAATATCTTGGCAGAAAATTTCACTGTTATCTTAGGTTTATATGTATCTTTCCCCCTATCCTCTCCCCTAAATATCAGTGCTGTTCAGTTCTCATATCAGACCTGTCTCTCCGGCAATAACAACACAGTTGTTGCCTTATTGGTCTCCAGCCCATCTCCCACTCCACTGCCACCAGGGTATTTTTTCTAAATATTTATCTATTAATATTTTTACTTTGCTTCAATTCGCTGGTGATGCTTAACTTCCCACAAGAGAAAGTCTAATTCCCAAGCATGGCATATGACACACATGCCCTGGGTTCTGCTTGCCCTTTTTTCCTGACTTCTTTTCATCCACCACCTATGTACTATCTGCTTTCTAGCAACAGCAAATCATATGTTGTTGTTGTTGTTGTTGTTGTTATGTGCCGTCAAGTCGCTTGCAACTCATAGCGACCCTATGTACAACAGCCCTAAACTCTGCTCTGTCCTGTGCCAATAGCACTGTCTCTGACACTCCCATCCCGATTATCCCAGTCATTGAATCAGTCCACCTCATAGAGGGTCTTCCCCTCCTATGCTGTCCCTCCACCCTCCCAAGCATGATGTCCTTCTCCAAGGACCGGTCCCTCCTCACAACATGTCCAAAGTATGTTAGATGGAGCCTCAGAATCCTTGCCTCCAAGGAGCCACCCAGTTTAACCCTTTCCAGGATAAATCTGTTTGTTTTCCTAGCAGTCCATGGTATTCTCAATACTCTTCTCCAGCACCACAGCTGCTGCTAGCAAATCATATAGTTCCTTCAAATTTCTAGGCTTACTCAAGCATGCTTTTCTTCTTTTAGAGATATCCCAACCCTCTTTTCTAGTTGCCTGCAACAGCCACTTAGCAAACTTCCCCCCTTAACTTTCAGAATTAGTGCATCTGACCTTTCTTTTGTGAAAGCTTCTTTGACACTTGTAGACACAGTTATCTGCTCTTTCTTCTTGATTCTCTTAATACTCCAATCTTTGCAATTCTGGAATGACCTCTCTGGAATTCTGGGATACATCTCTAACTAGAAAACTTGAACCTGGCAACTCTGTGTATGAAATCCTAACTCTGCCACCTGTTGGTAATCCCTGTCCTTGCATATAAACTTCAGGTAATATTAATCTAATAGGATTTGGGGAGGATGTTGCTTTATAAACACCTATTTATATCTGTTTTTAAAGAAATTCAGCTTTCACCCCACCACTCTTCTGTAAACAGCTCTCTCAAACAACACATATATCCCTGTGTCATTGCCAAATCTAGCATCTTCTTATTCATCTTGCTACCTGATTTTCTACATCACTCTATTTTCCTCCTTTTGAAGATAATTTTTTTTAAAATTACTATCCTAGCTCTTCAACTTTATCTATTAAGCCTACTGTATCTTCTTTTTATCTGTTTTTCATTTTGTTTTTTTGTTTTCTTTTGTTTTTCAGAGTAAATTGTTCTGACTTCCAGAGATGATGGTGGTGGAGTGTAGTAGTTTGGCAAGAAAAGGTGGACAAATTACTGGGAAGGAGATCTGGAAGGCCACTCTGACCTGATATATGTTGCATATTAATGAAAGTTCTAAATTAAGCACCCCACCCCTGCAGAAAGAGGAGGGGGCTGGGGTAAAAAGATGTTTTCTTGAGTAACATGGAACATGTGAGATGGGGAAAGCATCAATAGAAAGAGTGATGGGAATCTGAGGCCAAGACCCCAGGGCATTTAGTGGCTGGTCCTCAGCCCTGTTTGAGCTGTTTTTTCTCATCATGATGGCCACACTAGGACCTTTGTTGTGGGCTCAAACTTGACTAAGTCTTTCAGTCTTGCCATTTGCCTATGTATCACCTCATAAACTAGTGGTTTTTTATCATTAGTAATGCAGGATTGTGTAAGTGTATATCTCTGCCATCTGTAGCTCTTGTGTAGCTTTCCACGTCTTCTCTTTCTTTAGCCATCCCTTTATTGTACATTGCTTTTCCCTTCACCCCACTTAATATTTATAATCTAATTATTATTTCCCATTCTATCTTTTGTCCCTCCCATCCCTATAAGTATCAGAGAACATTTCTTTCCATGTCTACACATTTCCTTAATTTTGTAGAATAATAGGTTCATGCGGTGTTTGTCTTTTTTTTACTATTTTTCTCAACATAATGTCCTCCTCATTGTTTTTGTTCAGACATTCCTCTAGGTCGTATAGCCCTGGTGTGTCCACTTGCCATACAGCAGTAACTTGTGGTTGCTGTGAGGCTGAACAGTGTGACACTGATGTGTCAAATGCGTTAATGGTTGGTTACCCAATGCGGACAGAGAGTGGGGTGGAGCTCCCCTATTAAAACAAACTTGGAAGGAGTGGTATCCACTTCCATAATAGCTTGCCTCTGGAAACCCTATGAACCTGGAGAGAGGATGAAAGACACCCAAGCATTGAGGACTCTGTTTCATAGGCTTGCTATGAGTCACCGGTGACATGATGGCACTTAACAACAACAACAATGTTCTCGATGTCCATCACTGTTGGAAGTGTTTGGAAGATTCTTCATTATAGGCTCATCTTCTTTAGTCTTCAAAGAGGTTGGAAATTGGAAAGTTTTTGTTCATATAACTATAGTATGTCTAACATACTTTACAAGTTGCAGAGAAAGGTGAGCCTGGAGTTTAGGTAAGATTCAGTCAGTATAGGATGGTTCTTGGACTGGACTGACAGTTTTTATCCTAAATATGTCTCTTATTTTTTCTGTAACCCTGAGAAAGTTGCTTCTTAGTGACATTCCACATCTATAAAATGTGTCCTTAGACCTATATTCATAGAAGATTTGTTTAGAATATCAAGAAAGTGGGACAGCAAATGCCCATCAATAAGCAAATGGATTAAGAAATTATGATACGTTCACACAATGGAATACTATGCAGCACTAAAGAACAACTATGATCAGGTGTTGCCATGGGCTGGGTTAGTGGCTTCAATAATGAGGTATTTGGAGTAAAATCATGGGAGAGTCTAGAGAACATTATACTGAGTGAAATAACTCAATAGCATAAGGACAAATGCTACGTAAGAAAATTATTGTAAAAACACGTATAATTGAGCAAGATGTGTATAAATGTTAAAAAGGAGGAGAAAGGGAAAAACCAGTAGGAAAAAAAAGAAAGAAAGAAACCACTAGGACAGGTTAGTGGGCAGTTGGGAGTGAAGAAATAGGAAAGATCCAATGGAGACTTGACAAGCTGGGGTAATGATAGGCATGGATCAATAATAATTATCTAAAATAAAATGTTTATGAATGATTGTATAAAACAGTGTACATAAATAAAGCATGTTGTAAATTAAAGATTGATTAAAACATGATGTACATGCATGAAATACAATGTCTATGAATGATTCTAGGCAAATCAATGAAAATATGAGAAGAAAAAAGTAAACAAATACATGTCATAGTGGGATATAAAATAAAATAGAAGTTACAGAATTAAAAAGATGTGTCCTTAAGTGGAACCAATGAGTTAATACTTATCAAGTTGTTAGACACAATCAAACATTGCTGTCCTTCGGTGTAGAGTTGACTCCCAATGGATTGAGCCATGTGAATTCAAGGCTGTGGCCTTTCAGAATCAGATCACCAGACCTGTCTTCCAAAGTACATCTCTGTGGGTTTGAACAACCAGCCTTTCAGCTAGCAGTCAATTATTTAGCCTTTTCTCTCACCTAAGCACCTCCCTCAAGTACACAATAAAAATGAAACATGAAATTTCTATATGAATATTGGTTAAAGCAAACTTGAATGGCTTTCCTAACTGGACATCTTCTCACAGGCCTGCCTATGAAGGGATTTCTGAGTGTGGTGGTATTTTCCTTCTGTGTGTCAATACAATGGTTTTTAGGAACCAATACCCAAAGCCGCCTTTCAAGATAGACTTCTTTATGAATATGGAAACTGAGCAACACACTGCCCCTGGGGTACAGGTGAAGGAGTAAGTCCCCAGAGACGCTCCCTGATACAAGTGTGTACGGTTCTGTAGCTGAAGATCACCAAGGATGTTCTGGACAGGTGGGGTTATTTAGATCAACTGCCCACCCATTGGTGTGGTTTGGTCTGCCCTTTCCATCTTTGAAAGGGACACCATCTAACTTCTTCCAAACTGAATACTTTTCTTTTTGACTAAGAACAAATTCTGCCTTGATTTAGGCTGTTTAAGTCCTGGAAACATAAAAGCTATATGGAGTAACTTAGCTTTCTCAATTTTTGGGTTCTTTTCTGAAGGAATCGACAGCCTCTCTCCAAGGCGAGACTTTTCTACAAAACACATGCTGACTTGTTCAAGAAAATCCTGCTGGGCCTCTTCTGTTTAGGTGAGATATGGAGAAAGAGGGGAATAATTTTAGAGATATTGCCTCTTGTTAAGATGGCCACTGTGTAGACAACAATTTTCTTTTCAAATGGACTCAAGAGCAATTTGATGAATGGATCTTCTTTACTTAAAGGTGAAATATACTTTAGTTGGTGAAATTTCTAGGAATAATAAAATCTGAGAATAAATTCTTTTTTTCAAAGCTATTTAATCTCTACAGGAAGCTCTGGTGACCTAGTGGTAAGAAGCCGCACTGTGATCTTAAAGGCTCAAGGTTCAAATCCACCAGTTTCTCCATAGAAGACAGTTAGGTAATTCCCTGCCATGTGATTTACTGCCTCTGAAAGCTCACAGCAGGGTAAACTCTGAGTCGGCGCTGACTCGAAGGTGGTTGTTGTTGTTAAGTGCTGCGACTTATAGTGACCCTGTGTACAACAGCTGTGGATTTTGCCCTGTCCTGAGCCAGTCTCAATGTCTCTGACACACTTACCTCCATTATCTCAGTCACTAAGTCAATCCATCTCATCCAGGGTCTTCCTCTCTTGTGCTGTCCCTCCACAATTCCAAGCATGATGTTCTTCTCCAAGGACTGGTCCCTCCTAGCAATAGGGATGATCCTATGGTACTCAACAACAATATAAAATCTACAGCAAGTTGTACTGTGAACCCAAAGACTGCAAGTCTTGGGGGATTTTAATTCATCAGCAACAACTTGGGAGAAAAAAATGAGTATTTTCTTCCTGTAATGATTTATAGACTTGGAAACCTGGTAGAGGGTTACTATGGGTCAAACCAGTTCGACTGCAGTTAGAGTTTTGGTTTTGATTTTGTCTTTTTTTTTTTTTTTTCCAACAACTTCATACAGTTAAGTATTTCTGAGAATATAGGCATAGCTATTTTTAAGTGTCTTCATTTCTATTTTTGTCATCTTTATAAAAGAAGCTGGTGCTATATATTGCTTTTTTGCTAGTCTGGAGCTCTGGTGGCCTTATTGGATAGGGAGTTGCGCTGCTACCCCGAAAGTGACACCTCTCTAGTGGTTTAGATCCACCAGTGGCTCTGCAGGAGAAAGGTAGTCTTGTCCAGTTGACATAAAACCTCTGAAAACCCATTGGAGGGTCAGCTATGAGTCCGTTCCAATGACTGAGAAGCAATACGCTGAGCTGATCAAGATGAATGATATAAAAGATTTAAAAAAAAAACAACAGTTCTTTTCACAAACAGTGATAGAGACATATTAGACCTATCAACAGCAGAGGTAACAAATGATGAGAACAAAATTATGTTTTTTGTAGAAGTGAAGGTACTCTGGCTGGGCTTCCTTAGTGGCAGGCTTATTGGTCATATTTTTTTACTATATAGCTTTGCTCAAGATGAAAAGCTAAAATGAAGCATTTTAAAGTTTGGAGAAAAGATGATTCACTAGTCTAATGGTAGATGCTGATAAAATCTACTTCAAGGAGCAGGAAGAGGATATAAACTAATACAGAAAGGGGTGAGATTTAATTAGGGACAAGTGAAAGTATGCAATCACCAAGTGAAAGGACCTCTACTCGGGAATTCTCAAAAATAAGTTAGCCTCCTGGCCTTCAAAATGGCAGCTCAGTCTGACATTTAGGGCTGAGTGCCAAAGTCTCTGGATATAGTTCTTACTGATTTAAGTCTCAGATGTTCATGACCAGAGCTTCATTTGCCCTTTAGAAGCTCTACCTTGTTAATGCTTGTACTATACCATCTCTCCTTAGCATATGCTGCCTACTTCCTGGCAGCTTGCATTCTGAATTTCCGGAGGGCGTTGGCCTTGTTTGTTCTCACCTGTCTGGTGCTCCTTATCCTGGCTCACCGCTTGCTGAAGAGGTTCTTTGGGAAAAAGTTAATGAGATGTCTGAAGTCCTTTCAAAATTCTCGCCTCAAGCTCTGGACAAAATGGTAAGTTATGAATATCAATCTCCTGGATCCACAACTTGCCCCAGACCCAATCTGTAGACTTTTATCTCTGTCAGTATTTCCCAAAACTTTTCCCTCGTCCCCATTCATTTTCAGAACTCAAACTACTACCACCAGCTGCTGTGGAATCAATTCCAACTCTTGGCAACCACACACAAATTAGAGTAAACCTGTGCTCCACAGGGTTTCATTACTGGTCTTATGGAATTAGGTCCCAGGTCTTTTATCTGAAGCCAACCTTTCAGTGAACAGCCAAACACATTGGCCATTTTCACCACCCCAGGACTTCAGAACAGTCACAGACAGCAAATACCTCTGGACCTCAGATTGCTGCTCTTCAGTCCAGTCTCTTATAGTCTGATGTTTTCTCATTGTATAGCAGGAGTTAAGTTTCAAAGAAGGGGCATGGTTTGTTTTTCATCAGTGTCCTGGTCAAAATCAAAGAAATTATTTCCCCCTGCAGTAAAGCTATCAGACCAAAAAGCTTACAACTGGTTGGCTTTCAAATTGATTTGGTGGTCATATACATATACCAATGCTCCCTAATACTTTCCATGTTTTTTCTCTCAAGTCTTTTAGACTTCTAGCACCCCTGTTGTCTTTTACAACTCCTTATAATTGAAAGAGCAAACTTCCTGTTATGTGTCAAGTGACCTGGATTCTACAGCAGTCATAGTACATCTATCTAACATCTAGTTTGACATCATATGTCTGTTGATCACAAGCCTGGGGTGAAAGAATACATTTAGATTCTCTATAAAGTTCCTTTTATTCTGCCATTCTCTAGTGGGTGTCAGAAACTGTGTCATAAGGATATATTCAACAGCAACAATTTAGAGAAATCATACCAGAGTATTACCTAAATTTTGGATCATTCTGGCACGGAGAAGTGGTAGAATAGTAACATTAAAAACAATATTATTTAAGAGCAATATGGATTTTGGAAGTCAGTTTTTATTATTTTCATTCATTCTGACTTTTCCCACTACTTCCCTTTAATTTGTATTACTAGTAATCCTTCAGCTCTACTATATAAGACGGTTTTACAATGAAAACAAGTCTGAAACTCAATACTGGCCTTTAATGTGTTTTATTGGTATTGCTCCTGAGACATCTCAACAAACAATATTTTTGTTCTGTTTTGTTTTCATATGTGATTTCTTTTTCCTTCTTTTCCCTTAAATGTCAAGAAGCCAGCAGTAAAACATGAGGAAATATGTTTGTATATCAGTAAAGTGTATTTAGTATACTAAGGGTATATAAGATGCAGTCAAGGGGACATAAGATGCACAAGTAGTTGGTTTGTAGTTTAGTCTTTAACCCTTGAGGACGTACTTGGAAAATTGGATGGAAGATCCATATGGGGGTTGCAGTGGTGGTTACTGTATACATGTCTGTTCTCATTTTGCTTTTAATAGATTGGTTATTTATTGGAGCAATCACAGGGATTGGGCCTTTTTCATGTATCAGCTATACAGAAATTAAAAGTCAAGTGATTCATGTCCTCAGGTTGGAATCTTACAACTTTGTTCTATGAGTGAAAGAGTTGCAGGGGAGAAAAGAGACAGAAAGGTGGCATCTAGGGAGCTCCTAGATGAATTCTCAAGCTATATTTCTATATCTAATCTACAATAAGCCATTGAGTTATTTCCATTATCTTTGAGGTAAACTTCTGCTTTTTTTGAGATGAAGTTCATAGTCTTTCATTCTCTGAGTCAATGACATAGTCTTTGGAATTCTCTCTTCAGGGTGTTTGGAGGACTCTGCTTGATTGGTCTTATCCTGTGGCTGGCCTTAGACACAGCTCAAAGGCCAGAGCAGCTCATCTCATTCGCAGGAATCTGCATGTTCATTCTCCTCCTCTTTGCCTGCTCCAAACACCACAGTGCAGTGAGTTCTGGGTATGCAAGCTGGGCATGGTAACACATAGCCAATGATCAAGTACTATTTGCAAAGTGCACGCACCAAGCATTAACTACAATGAGTCTTAGTTTTCTAGGGCTGATGGAATAAAATTAAATTATTTTGAATAACAAACAAATAAAACCTTCCAACATATGTAAAAAAATTTAAATATTCACTCATGTATTTTGACATAGAAATAATTACACTGTAATTACGTTTCCTGTAAGTTATAGATTGAATAACTTTTACACATGCTGTTTTAAATTGGGGATGGGGGAAACCCAAAACAAACAAACAACAAAACAAGAATTTTGTTTCCTCATCATTTTGGAGGATAAAAGTTCAAATTAGAACATCAGTTCTATGGGAATTTCTTCCTTGTTTGTAGCCCTGGGCCTTACTTGGCATTTCTTGGTATTGGGGCGGGGGGAATCTCTTTCTGTGTGTTTCTGTCTTCTTGCTCTTTTTATAGAACACCACTCAAGGAATCAAATTTAGGACTGATTTTACTCTGGTATGGTCTCATTAACAGAACAAAAGTAATGTTGTATTTCCAAACAGGCTGTCATTCATAAGTACAGGAATTAGCAATCCAACACATAATATTATGGGGAAACAGTATAAATATAAGGCAAAGGAATAGAACGAAATCCTTCACAACATCTGATATTTGCACGCTTTGAAAACTTTTACTTCTAAGAGAAGTTTTAAAGATCTCAGAGATCCCATTGTTATTGTTGTTAGATACTGTTAAGCCAGCTATGCCTCACAGCAACCCTATGAACAATAATAGATCTCAACCTTGCTATTCTGCACCATCTTCAGGATCTGTCATACTCAAGCCCCTTACAGTAAGCAGTCCCTCAGTTAATCCCTCTTGTTGAGGGTCTCCCTCTCTTTCTCTGACCTTCCACATATCCCAGCAAGAATTAGTTTCTCCTGAGACTATGCTCAAATTACATGAGGCAGTGTTTCACCATTTTTGCATCTAAGGAGCACTCTGGTTTTGCTTCATTCCAAACAGACTTGTTTGCTCTTTTGGCAGCCTACAGTATTCAATACTGATCTCCAACACCATAATTCAAAGACATTGATGATGAACAGAGACCCTAGACCAATCATAGGCTGTGATCCATTAATGAGCTTGATATCAATTTTATATCTAAGCCAATAGAAAACAACAGAAGAAATTACTTTGTACTATATATACATAACCCATTACCATATAATTGATTTTAACTTACAGATCTATTCTCACTATAAAACCATCTCATACTGTTTGATCAAAGGATTATTGGAAATCAGAATCTGACCCTACAAAACAGAGTAGAACAGCCCCACTGGATTTCTGAAACAGTAACATTTACCAGAGCAAACTATCACATCTTTGTCCCAAGGAGCAGCTGATGAGTTTAAGACACTGACTTTCTGGTCAGCAGCTGAATACTTAAACATTGTGCCACCAGAACTCCTTTGCAAAGTACATGTTAATGTTCAAATATTTTTTAAGAAATTTTCATTTCTATGTATTATTATATAAGTGTAATTTAACCTCTAGACACATTTTTTTAAAAAGATATGGATATATTTAACTCTTTATATTTTGCTTCTATATTCCCCTTTACTGTGATCCTTACTCTATTTACTGTTACTTAACTCCTAAATTTACTTGCTATGAATAGCTTACATTGGTTCTAACCAGCACATGTATATAAATGAAGTACCAATATTTAAAATGACACCTAGGTAATAGGCAAATAAGGTTTAGAACTAACAATAGAATGATTTTCTTGTTGATTCCAGGTGTCCTGGAGGGCAGTGCTTTGGGGTCTGGGTCTTCAATTTGTCTTTGGGATTTTGGTCATCAGAACTGATCCTGGATTTATTGCATTCCAATGGTTGGGAGACCAAGTTCAGGTATGAGAAATTGAATGTGAGGACTCTGTACTTTCAGAATCCTAAAGAAAGGAATTTATGGCAATATTAGAAGATTGAGCTAGTGGGCGAAATCTTGTGGAAAGATTATACTAGAGTATAACCATAAATATGAGTAAAGAGAAAGAGCTGTTAAGTTCTTCTGTTCCTCCATGAGCAGTTCATAGGATAATAGCCTGTCTCTGTACTGTCAAAGGGAAGTCAACCTCAGTAATAATAGCAATACTTAATCATGAATGAAGCTGATCCAATATTCTTCTTTGTCCTTTCTAGATTCATTCTTGTTCTCTTTCTTCCCCCTTCAGATTTTTCTGAACTACACTGTGGCGGGATCTAGTTTTGTCTTTGGTGATATGCTGGTTAAGGATGTCTTTGCTTTTCAGGTAATATCTGCTTTATAAATAAGAATAAAGGTCTTGGGTGGCAGTAAAGAAAAGGATGAATATGTATGTTCAAAATATCAGTAATCCTGTATGCCAATTTAGCATAAGGAGAGAGTTTCATCCCATCAGTAGAAGAAACAGCATCACTCCCTTGCATTTAATCATTATCACCTCCAAATCACATACAATTAGGGCCAGTCTAGAAGATCAGATAAGATGTCTTATGTTTTCTTACTGATAGAATAATGGATCCCCCGCCCCCATTTATTTCTAGACTAGTTTTCATGTAAATAACCACTGTTCAGGTATCCTTGGGAAGATGAGTGTTTAGTTTGGACACTTCACATACAGAGCTTACTTAAGATATACATGAGTACATATAGTGCAATATCTCACCAGTTGCTCTATATTTCTTCTTACAGTCATTACCAATCATCATTTTCTTTGGATGTGTGATGTCCATGCTATACTACCTAGGTCTTGTGCAGTGGGTAGTTCAAAAGGTGAGTTATCCTCTTTATCAGGAGAGATTTGTCTTCATCTTATAAACTGTCAAGAAGCACAAATATGATTTTTGGGGGGAGGGGAGTGGGGGTAGAGATTGCTCATAGGTAGATGCTGGTGAAAGCTATAACAATTTTTCATAAATAGCAAACAAAAGAGGACAATAGACTTCAGGAAAGGGGGCTGCAATAAAGTGAGAAACTCAATCACAGAACCACCATATTCAGATGCTGGGGAGGGAGAGCCTACAACACCCCTGGAGAAAAATTTCTTCAGTTTGGGATTAAAGAGAACAATAGAATTTAAGAGAGGGGGTTGCAACCAGATGAGAGACTCACTTTCACAGTTGGCACATTGAAGTGCTAGCAGGGAAACTGCCTACAACCCCACTAGACAGAAACTCCTTAAGTTGGGGAACCCAGTTGCATCACTCCACAGACAAAAGAGGATAATAGACTCTAGGAAAGGGAGCTACAGTAAGGTGAGATTCCCACAGGGCTGCACTGCAGAGCAGAGAGGACCTGAAAGACTTTAGGAAAGGCAAACTTTCCTATTCCACAGGTCCAAAAGGGACATCCAGTAGATTGAGTTGCCCAATCCCATAGACTGAAGATTTTAAGCTTGCAACTAATCAATAACACCATAAAGATAAAGAACTATCAACAACTGATACAAACACAATAGAAACAGCATAACATATACCAAGCAAAACTTCACATAATGTCAAGAAAGCAGCAGGCAGTTTTAAACATTGTGGAAGGGGGAGGGGAAAAGCTTTTTTTTTAAAAAAAAAAAAACAACATGCAGGGTATATTGAAGACCTAATGAACACCCTAGAGTCGGGGGTGAGGCAGAAGAAATATATTGATGTAGAGTCATATGAACAGCTAATGAAAATGGTACAAATGATGAAAGAAATACTAGAAGCCAGAAATAAAGTGAATACAGGGAGCCAGAAGAAATATATCAATGCAGAGGAACTTGAACAACTATGAAAGAAACTGCAAAAAAAGACAAAAGGACAAATATTGCATAATGTCACTGTTATAAAACAGGACTGACATGGAGGTTGGAGGAAAACTAAGGACAAACAATGTACACTGCATTGAAACAAATGAGGAAAAGACCTATTTAAAGGAATATATGATTAGGTATTATTTGCATAATAACAGTCCAGAATAAGAGGTACTTAGCAAAGTGGACAGGAGAGAAATTGTGCAACAATGAAAGATTTTTTTAAAAGAGAAAAGCGAACTAAGGGGGAGGGGAAAAAGGAAAATGTGCTACAATAAATGAATGGAAATCCAGGTTTTCTGTAGATTTTAATAAAATCTTAATAATAATAAAAAACACATAGTGAAAGGTATATACACAAAACCGAGAGCCAAAATGATTCTCAAAGGAGAAAGACTGAAGACATTCTCCTTATAAACAGAGACCTGACTAGGAATGTCCACTTTCACTACTCTTTCAGTATTGTATTGGAAATACTTGCTAGGGCAAGTAGACAAGAGAAGGCAAGAAGAGGCATCTGGATCGGCAAAGAGGTGGTGAAATTGTCATTAAATGTAAATGATATGATAGTGTACACAGAAAACCCCAAGGATTCAACAAAAAATCCTGTTAGACTTTGTAAACCAATTTTGTAGGACGGCAGGATACAAAATCATCAAACAAAAATCAGTGGAATTCCTCTCCAGTAACAAAGAAAACACAGAGAAGGAAACTTAGAAAGCAATGTTATTTACAGTAGCCAACCCCAACCTTCACATGTACTTCTATCAGTTCTAACACCAAACGACTCTCCTAGGGCTCTTACCGCACTGCTACTGGGCCTACTAATTCTTTGCAATGAATCCACAGACAGTACTATGAGGTTTATTAATAAGTATCAGGTTTGAAACACTCAGGATCCAATTCTTAAGTCAGGACAATTTCTCACTTGTGCTTACAGGCCCTTTGACCTTAATCCTTTCAATCTTAAACCAATATTACAAAGATCTCTTAGTCCTTTAAACTATAGTATCTTCCCTTGAGTCCTCCAGCAAGCTTGGGTGAGTCTTGGATTCTGGATTCATGAGGACATGAGTAGTTCCAGCTCAGCTGTCTCTCCCATAGGTCTGGTTTTCTGCCACCTTTTCTGCTGCTGCTGCTAGTGCTGCTAATATCATGTCTTCATCTGTCTGTTTCATGTCAAATTCTACACCCCTGGAGGGTGTACACTGCACCCTCCACTTCTTCCTTCTATTAGAAAGGAGATTTCCCTTTTATGCCTTGTTGTTATTATTAAGTGCGATCAAGTTGAGTACGACTTGTAACAACCCTATGAACAACAAATCTGAACCCTGTCTGATATTGTGCAATCTTCACAATCAACCCTATCCTATCCATGCCATATTCATAATCAAATACACCCAATCCCATTACTTCAGTCACTGAGTCAATCCACGTGGTTGAGGGTCGTCTTCTCCTTAGGTAATCCTCCACCTTCCCAAGCATGATTGTCCAAAGAATAGTCTCTCCTAAGCAACATGTCCAAGTATGCCTTATCATCTTTGTGTCTGGCTGCACTTTTTCCAAGACATATCTATTTGTTCTTTTGGCAGTCCATAGGATATTCAGTACTCTTCTCCACCACCACAGTTCAAAAGCATCGATTTTCTATAATTGTTACTCATTGTCCAGCTTTCAGAGGCACTGCAACTGATCAGAAAGTCTATGGCCTGAATCAAACATACCTAAAGCATCAAATTGACATCATTGTGCCTAGTAAGCCTAGTGGATGGCAAGCCTAGTGGATGGCAAGATTAGCCCATCCCCTCACTAGTAGACATACACCTTACTGCTCTCACCCAGAATGTGTTATTTACTTCATTCACATTATTAGCACAGTCCCACCTAGCCATGGGGCAAAATCCAAATAAGTGGCTTAAAAGGCCACTTAGAACAATCAATTTGCTGCCCCACAGCATGCTATCAGGGTATGCCAGTCCCTAGAGAAAGATATAATGTTTGGTAAAGCAGATAGTTAGTGGAAAAGAGTGAGAGCCTCAATTCAATGGGGTTGGCACAGTGGCTTTGACACTGGGCTCAAGCACAACGTCTCTAAGGATCAGAGTGTTGAACACTGGATCTCTGTGAGTTGGAGTTAACTCAACTTTACCAGAAAAAAAAAACATACACACACACTGATCTACAGTCTTTTCAAGAGTTTTCCTTTATTCTAAAAGTCAAGAGTCCTGAGTTCTAGTTCAAGCTTATTTTTGTTATCTCCTTTGTGGTTTTAGTTTGTCACTTGGCTTCCATAGACCTGTTTTCTTGCCAGTAAAATGGAGAGAGGGGAGTTTTGCTAGACACTTTCTAAGAATCTTACTAATGCTAATGGATTAGGGCTCTATATCCTTTTAGATTGCTTGGTGTTTACAAGTCACCATGGGCACCACCGCCACTGAGACCCTCGCTGTGGCAGGAAACATCTTTGTGGGTATGGTAAGTACCTAGTTGATCTCTGGTTTCTTTTTCCCTGTAGAACTGATCACTTTGCAGAAAATGAATCGAGAAAGTCATACTTTCCTTCTGAAAAGTCAAATTAATGAATATTTTGGGGCAACCAATGTCTGATGAAAACAAAAGCTCAGTGGGGACTCACCTAATTGCTTTCATCATCTGTATTTGGTAATGTTTACCTGGGAATTTTTAAACTAGACATCCTTAGCCATAAATTCAACTTTTTACACAGGAATGTAAGACAATTTCCTGGTTCTTATCATATCCTTCTAAAAGGGTGAGATAGTATGTCTCATCTACAACCTTGCTTTAGCCTTTTGACTCCTTTACAGCCCTTGTTTCCTAGGGTCTCTAAGGAAGCAATGATTTGCTTTGTTCATCATCCCAATACTTGTTAGGTACATTTGTCTGCAGGAGTGGTTGCTTAATATAAACTGACAATTGAGTTGACAAATCAGCTCAATGTTAAGAACCATGCCTTATCACATTGACATAGTTAGTAGTAAGACCAAGAACCTGCTTCTGAAATGTTCTCAAAGCACTTCTGGATGCGTCTGCTTTAGCACTCACCTGCTCAAACTTTGCTGACACTATCCATTACTGGGGGAGTTCTGGTGGCCTAGTGGTAAGAAGTTGTGCTGCAATCCAAAGGCACAGCGCTGGAATCCACCAGATGTTCCATTAGAGAAGGATGGGAAGTCTCTTTCTGTGCAATTTACTGCCTCTGAAAACCTGCTGGAGAGTGAGCTATGAATTGGTGTCCACTCAACAGCACACAACAGCAACATACATAGTTGTTAATGCTGCTGGCCTAGTAGTCAAAAGCTTCACTGCAGTATCAAAGGTGCATGATTCAAATTCACCAGCTGCTCCACAAGAGGATAGACAATCTCCTTCCATGTGCTTTACTGTCTCTGAAAACCTGAGGAAAGGTCACCTACAAGTTGGTTCCAACTCAATGACACATAACAAAAAAACCAATAAGAACACACATAATCAATTTCATCTTCTAAATTCTAAGCTCCTAAGAGTAGAAGCATTACTTTATCTATACTATTATTCTTAGCATTTAATTTAGTACTAAGCACTAGTTGATACTTATTAACTGGTAAATAACATCTTAAATCACTACTAAAGAGAGTTAACACAATTTGGCCATCATTTTATAACTTTCTTTTTTTTTCATCAAAAGTAAAGAGTATCTGCTCATAGTTCATTTAATGAACGCTTGTCAAGTGTCCAATATTTAGTCAGTAAATTTCTTTTTCTCTGTAAGGTTATTCAGAAAGTACCTTGGCTTTAGACCTTGAAATGCAACAGAAATACACTATTTTGCTTCTGTAATATTTTAATAGCATTTTATTGTCTTTTCAGTGGCATTACATTCAGCAAAATGGGTTTTCATTCAATATTTCCTTTACATATTGTTCAATGATATTGGTTAAACATAACCGATAATCTCCTTATTTTCATTCTAATTGTTGGTTCCCATTAACCAAGTCTTACGTTTTCTAAACCTCCCAATTTTGTCCCTTTCTGTTAGAAATTCTCTTGTTGTCTCAATCAGAATGAATTTTAATAATAATCAAGCAGCATCTAGTTCCTCTGGTTTCAGGAGAGAGAAGGCCATGATTCATGCAGATAATTAGTCCTAAAGACCAGTTCCTTCTCTGAATCTTGGTTTCATTTTCTCTCTTTTGCCCAAGATGAGTAGGAAGCTTTTTGATAATATTTTAAATTTTAAATTGATAAGATAAGCACATAGGAGAATATGCAAAAAACAATGCCAACCAGGATATGATTAGTACCGGAAGGAATGAGTCAGAAGCTGAGCAGGCTTGAAAGCAGAGCTCAATACTCACTAGGTTGAGCTCCCCCCACCCTGTTTTCTTATTTATTCTTATTAGAATAAAACTCACCATGGAGGAAAGAGTATGTGTCTAACACACCAGTCCCAGGAGTTGGGGTGGGTACTCCGGGGTGGGAGGCATACTCTCTTGTAATCTGACTGGCTTCTTGTTTACAGACAGAAGCACCCCTGCTGATCCGACCATATCTCGGAGACATGACGCTCTCTGAAATCCACGCAGTGATGACAGGAGGGTTTGCCACCATTTCAGGCACCGTCTTGGGAGCCTATATATCCTTTGGAGTAAGTATGTTTTGCCTGATCACTCCTGGGTAAGTTCTGTATAGATACTGACTTCTGTGTCTGACTTTGCAGATCAGCCCAGCATCCTTGATTTCTGCTTCTGTGATGGCTGCCCCTTGTGCTCTCGCATTGTCAAAGCTTGTATATCCTGAAGTAGAAGAGTCAAAGTTCAAGAATGAGGAGGGGGTAAAACTGCCCCGTGGGTGAGTCCAACGCAGTATTTAAATTAGCAGACAGTGGGGTCAGGTGCAGTCAAGTGGTGATCTGATGGTGGAGGCTTGAAGCGTCCCTGAGGGAAGATATGATTCCGTATACTCTCCTGCCTATCTTTGCCTCTAGTTGATCATGTCAATTGCCTTGTTTAGTTTTATTGTGTTATTTTAACTGTACCACCTGCTATTAGTTATTGCATGGAAGCACTCTCTGTCCTTGATCTCAGTGTGTATTTCATGGTAATTGTGTGTGATACTGCTTCAAAGTAATGTCCACTTGGAGGGTTACTAAAGGACCGTCAGCACCACTCAAAGCTAGTCTTACACCTCCCCTCCTTTGTAGAGACAGTGGGATTTCTTAGAGGGCTGAGACTGCTATTGACATCACAATCTCTCCCCCATACCCAATAACCACAGGAAGGAGAAGAATCTCCTTGAAGCTGCCAGCAATGGAGCTGCAGATGCCATAGGCCTTGCTGCTAATGTAGCTGCCAACCTGATTGCCTTTTTGGCTGTGTTGGCATTCATCAATGCTGCCCTCGCCTGGCTAGGAGAATTGGTGGAGATACAAGGACTCAGTTTTCAGGTAAAGGATTGCATCTATAGAATTGCCTTCCTTAGATGTAAAGGAAAAAGTCCGTGAGCCATGCATGTGATTCTGACCCGTGATAATCTAAGAGAAAGGATAAATTGGAGAAGGGTGGAGGAGATTGTGTCAAGATTCCAAAATCAATCTCCATAATAGTCTATGTGTTTCCTGCTGCCAAAGGGGCCCTTTAGAGTAGTGAGAGAAGATCTTCACCCTGAAACCCACAGCGTCCCTTTTCAGCAGGAAGTAGCTAAGAGAATACACCGTCCCCTTTTCCTTATGACTCAGGGTGAAGTCTCTCTCAGGGAGGAGTGATAGGGAATGGCAAAGGATACACTGACAAAGAAGATTAATCAGAACTGGCTTTGACAAGCACTGTGGCATTTGGACAAGAACAAACTGGGAGGAGGGTAGAGAGAATAGTGCAACAATGAATGAGTGGAAGCCCAAAATCTCTGTAAATGTTTATGAAAATTAATAAAATATAATTATAGAAAAAAAAATGAAAATAAGATTCAAAATCCTGGACTCCTAAGTGCTGTAATTAAGTATTTTTTTTTTCTTTCCCTCTGGTATCTCTTTCCCTTAGGTCATCTGCTCTTATATTCTAAGGCCCATGGTCTTCATGATGGGTGTAGAGTGGGCAGACTGTGGCATAGTGGCAGAACTGGTCGGGATCAAGTTCTTCATCAATGAGTTTGTAGCCTATGAGCAACTGTCTCAATACAACCACAAACGTCTCTCTGGAATGGAAGAGTGGATTGGGGGTGAGAAGCAGTGGATTTCAGTAAGTAATAATCCAGAAAAACATCTGTAGTGTGATGTCTTGGTCATGGCTATGTGTGGGTTATCAAAAAATGCTACATAAAAGTTTCTCACAGACCCACAGATTCCTTTCCAGTGCCTCAGACTTAATCACAAAGTAAACATAAAAACATGCTTTTAAAAAATTCGCCCGTTACTACTGAGTTGATTCCAACTCATGATGGCCCTCCATCGGGTTTCTGAGGCTGTAAATCTTTGCAGAAAGAAACTGCCCATCTGTCTACCATGCAGCAATTAGTGGATTTGAACCATCAACCTATTAGTTAGCAGCAAAACATGTAATGTACTACACAACCAGGGATCCTTAAAATTATGATTAGCAGCTTCTATCTCCAGGATCTGAACTACCCACACATCAGTGTGCTATTTCTTCCCCATCTCCTGATTCAACATCTCTCTTCAACATAATTATCACATCTATGTTATTGGAGCTATTTTTTGATGGTTTAAAATCCCATTCTCTAAGTGTCATACATTATAAACCAAGGATAAAGATGATAATCTCCTCCCATGTGATTTATAGCCTTGCAAGTCCAACGGAAGGTCAGCTGTG